CCCGTCCGCCCCTGCCCGCCCCCCCTCCTCCCAGTGCTGGCAGCTGCAAGGGGACCTCTAGACCCGCTAAGTGACGGGGCTGTAGGGGGCAGGGGGCCAGCTCCGCAGTGCCTCTGGAAACAATTTCTTCTGCTCTGCTTTGGGAGTCTGTGAAATTTTCTCTCCTGTCTCCCTGCTGCCTTTCTCGGCCCCTGTCTCTGGGGTCCCTGCTTTCCCTCCCGGCCCAGCCGGCTCTCTGTGCGCATGCGCGTGCGGATGCGGAAGCCGGAGCGTGCTCGGTGTTTCCTCTCTCTCTGTGCTCCCTCCGCCTCTCCTCTGCTCTGCACGCAGGCACAGCCCACGGCTGCCCGCTGCCCGTCGGGGGGCCCCCGATTGCCCACCTTGGCCCAGGCACCGCCTCGGGGTCTGAAGGATCCAGGACTGCTGTAGGCCTGACGGGTGGGGCACGAAAAGCAAAATGCCCAAGAGAGATGGGTCGCAGGGCCCAGGAGACGCGTGGAGGACCCTGAGCGATTTGGAACAGATGTGGCTTCCACTTGGGAGCTTGGAACTCGAAGTTACTTAAGGCTCTGTGTCCCTGATTGCTCCCGCGGCTGTCAGGTGCAAGAAGTCCTCCCCTAGGGTCCTGGTGAGGACTGAATGGAGGTACATCACGTTCTGACACAGGGGGACATTCCGGCCTCCATTTTACAGGTGCACGTGCTCATAGTATCACTGCTCGAGGCCCGCACCAGGGTGCTTCCTAGGGGCTCCTGGCCGGGCCACCCTGCCTCCCTTCCCCGTCTTCGGCCCAAATCTGCCTTTGATTCGCCCTCCGTCACAGCTGAGATCCCTTGCATTCTGCCCAGGTGTGCACAGCTCCACGCGGGCTCCCGGGGGGCAGGCTCTGTGTTAGGATGCCCTGCCTGTGGCAGGGTGACCTATCCCCAGCCCGGCCTGTGCTATCAGTGTGCTGGCTTGTCCTAAAAGGCAGACAACTTCAATGGACTTCATTGTTGCAGGAATTTGGTGTCCCATGACCAAGAGCCGTGTCACCAGACGGCCAAAGGGCCCCCCTCGGCTTTGGTATTGTGGACGTCTGAGCTCATACTGGGGCTTGGACCAGATCATCCCTCCGGGTGTGGATGGGGCACAGGGGCTTGGCCAGATCAGGCTCCTTAAACCCCAAACGGGAGGTGGGTGCATTGAGCAGGACACCAGCACTTCACTCTTTCGCAGAGGCCTGGGGCTATGAAAGCTTGGAAGGGGCTGCCTGGGGGTAGGTGGAAATGGTCCAAAGCTGGGAGCTATGACCTGTGGTCCCCCGGGACCCTATAGGCCTGGACAGGGAGCGACTTAGCAGGACTTCTGAAGGCAGAACACCACCATGAGCGGGGTAAGAGCCCTAGATGGCCAGAGGAGACTGTTCGCCAACCCTCGACAATGGGGCCCCGAACAGACCTCTTGCATCTGGGGAACTCAAGGGACACAGTAGTGTTGACCCCAGAGATGGGGATTCAAGTCACCCCTGCTGTGTCTGGAGCCCCTCACGGGCATTCATTCAACAAGCATCATGGCTATGGCGCCGGCCCCTGAGCACCTATGTGGGTCATGTACCACTTTCTCAGGGCTGCTGGGACAGATGACCACAGACAGGGGAGCTTAGAACAAAAGAAACGTTCTGTAGTCCGGGAAGTCTCAAACCCTAGTGTCAGCAGGGGCCACTCGCCCTCCAGAAGAGGGAGGGGAGATCCCTGCTTGTCCTCCAGCTAACACTGGTTGTCACTGTCCCCTGTGATCAGCCCTCCCGTCTCTGCCTGGGACTTCACATGGTCTTCTCCTCTGTGTCTGTGTCTCCTCCACCCTCTTAGAAAGACTTGTCACTGGATATAGGGCCCGCCTGAATATTCCAGGATGCTCATCTCAGGATCCTTGAATACATCTATTAAGACCCCCATTTCCACATAAGTGATGTTGGCAGGTTCTGGGCGTTAGGATGTGGGTAAATCTTCTCTGGGACTGTTACTCAGCTCACTCCAGAGAGTAAATGGAAGACATTTCCAAACCACTTCCTTGGTCCAAGAACTGTTCTCAGAACTTCCCACCACTGGCCCACCTCACCTCATGCTGGTGGGATGGGCACCAGCACCACCCATTCCCAGGCGAGAGAGCCTCCAGTCTCTCCAGGGCTGAGGGGTGGGATTTCCACCTTGCCACAAAGTACAAGTAGAAATCAGAGAGACTGTGGGCACAGCTCCTCCCCACTGAGCCACCCTGGCCAAGGCTCATGTGGATCCTTGGAAGCCCTCCTGAATAGGCCTTCTGGGTCCCATCTCCCTGGGGACGGTTGACATCTGGGTGTAGCCTAACCTGGTCCACACAACAGAAGAGCTCAGGCAAAGCTGTTGGTTAGAGGCTGAGTTTTCTTCCCAGTCACTCTTCTCTGAAAGGCTGAACTTGCCCAGGGGGTTGGGGTCAAAGTGGGTTGCCCCAGGCTCTGGTCATCCCTCCTGACACCCCATGCTGGTGTCACCTGCCCTGGTGATTTCCTTCCTCCTAAACCACAAAAGCAGCTCCACCTTACAACATTCCGCCTCATATGCCCAGAAACATGTCGGTAGGATGGCCAGTTGAGATGCCCATCGCTTGCATCTCCCCCTCAACAGCAAGACTTGAGGTCCAAATGCCCTTGTGGGGACTTAGGGGTCCCGCACCATACGCCAAGGGACTGGGGGGGCATCTCTCCCACCTGGGTGTCAGATAACAGTCACAGACTCTAGCTCTCTTTGCTGTGGTCTTGGAGTCCCTGGAGAACTCTGACTGGGACAATCACCCACAGACAAGAGAGTGTTTGTAAAACATCTAAGAGTCCATTGGGAAAGTTCCAGAACATCCTTGGAGCAAAAAAGAAATCCCAGTGTGGATGCACTGGGGGCAGGAAGAGGGACAGGTGGACTCCTCTCCCGAGGCAGCGCAGCTTGATGCCAAGAGAATGCTTGTCAGCCTGTGATTTCTCCCCCGGGGCGAGTGAGAGCACATGAGTGGTTGCCGGGCTTCCCCACCTGCGTGGCCAACGTCCATCCAGGCGACTGAGTCACGAGCTGTGCCATCCCGGGGCAGAGCAGCCAGGGCTTGGAGTGTGTGCTGGGATATGGAGCTTGTCATCCCCTGGCCCATTCATTCCCTGCCTTATGCCTCAGCCCCACCCCCTCCCCTCCGCGGCTCCCCACTTGGTCCTGGGATGGCCACTCAGGCCACTCTCCCTGGCACTGCCCTTCTCTTTACAGTCCATGGCACTGGGGAGGCTCTTCTCCGTCAACGCTCCCTGACCATCCAGGGGGACACATCCTGACCCTTGCTATGCTCCGGCCCAGATTTCTCTCCCAAACCTCTAAAACAAATCCCTTGGCCGTCTCCTGCAAATCCCCCCATAACGTGACATTGGACTGTCATCATAGCCTGTGAATCGTCCCTGCTCTGTCTCTCTCTCTCTCTCCAGCCGTGACCCATCTTTTGCCCTTGATCCTCAACAGCACCTTCAATGCCCGTCCACACCCCTGTCCCCCGAGTCACTTCTCTGCATGGCAACCGGTGTCTGCTCTTTAGCGTGCAAACCTGCTCACATCAGCTCTCTGTTTAAACTCCTTTAAAGCTGCCTGTGGCTCTAAGGAACTGTTCCAGAACCGTTACTGAGCCGCAGCAGTCCTTCCCCTGGGAAGCCCCTCTGCTCACTGCTCCGGAGGCTGCCCAACACCCTCTGGTTTCTTGAAAGTGCCTCCGTCACCCTCTCCTGCCCAGAACATTCTCATCTCTGCTCACTCAACCATCTTCTACTCTTCCTCTGATTATAGCACAGAGGTCACCACCTCTAGGAAGTCTTCCCTGACTTCCCTGAGTTTGGTGTTTTGTCTTAGCTTCTAGAGCCTTGCTTTATCATCAGTCTTGACCATCAGATTCCAAGTCCAGGAGGGTCATCCCTGTGAGAATCTTTTCTTATGTATTTTTTAATTTTTTTTATCTTACATTGACAGAGAGAGAGAGAGTATGAGTTGGGAGAGGGGCAGAGGGAGAGAGAGAATCTTTTTTTGTTTTGTTTTTAGTTTTAATTTTTTTAAGTTTATTTATTTTTGAAAGAGACAGAGAGAGCATGAACCAGAGAGGGGCAGAGAGAGAGGAAGAGACAGAGAACCCGAAGCAGGCTCCGTGCTGCCAGTGCAGAGCCTGACACGGGGCTTGAACTCACCAAACCGTGAGATCATGACCTGAGCTGAAACCAAGAGTTGGACGCTTAACCGACCGAGCCCCCCTGGTGCCCCGTCACTGTGAGAATCTTTAAGGTCAGAATCTCTTTGCGGTTCGGAGTGGTCCTCTGACATCGAGCAGGTTAAGATAACAGCCTGTTGGCAATAATTCCTAGCTGTGTGGGCATGGGGGAAATTACTGAGCCTCTCTGTTCCTCAGTTTCCTCATCTATAAAAGGGGGCTCAGAATAACCTATAGGCTTTCATTGCAGTTGTCCATTTGTGGCTCATTTGCTCCCAGCCTCCACTCTGCTGGGTGAGGGTTTCATCTGGTGGGGAGAACTCAGCACCGGTGAGGCCGGTGAGGAACCCCGGCCGGGAACCTAAAGTAGCTACTCTCCCTGGATTGGGGGTGCTGGGGGTCAAAGGAGGCATCTTGGAGGAGAGAAAGCCCAGGAACAAGAGGCTATGCCAGATGTAGTTGGTGGCAGGGGGTGGGGGGGTGTCCGTGTGTAGACACAGGCTGGGCTGATGGGAGGGAAATGGCGAGTTTGGAACCAGGGACAGGGGAGGCCGCGGATGAGGGAATAAGGCTGCAGGCTCTCCTCCCATCCTGGGCCTGAGATCCAAGTGGGCTTGGCCACAAGCTCTGCGGGCAAAGGCCCCAGAGCCTGGGTGAGACTGAGCCCCGTGGAAGGTTCTGGGGCTTGGCCGCTGGGCACAGGCAGCTGTAGGCATGCGGAGTCAGGCAGATCAGGGCAGAAAGGCACCAAGAAAGCATCTAATCCCAGAAAGGAGGTTTATTGCTGGAGTTCTCAGAGCCTCCCATCCAACGGTCCACAGGCTCCCTGTGCGTGCGGAAGCCACAGGCGGACTCACTGTCGTCATCTAAAGGATGAGCCAGGCAGGGCCAGGCACGCGGCTCCTTGGCGCACCGAGGCCAGGCTGCATCTGGGGATCTGGGCACCTGGTGCCTTAGAAAGGGGCCCCGCCACTTGCGGGGGAGCCCTAGGCTTGATTGGGGTTGGTGACTTTGGCCCAAAAGAGGATGTCCTGGGTATCGTCGTGGTGTATGGAGAGCAAGAACGGTCTGTTGAAACTGACAATGAGCCGTGGGCCAATTCTTCCGGACAAAAAAACAATTTTAGTTCCCGTGGCCGCCGCCGCTTCTGTGCCCTCCTCGGCCACGTCGAGCACGGTCTTGTGGACCATCTGTGGGAACGCAAGAGCGTTAGCCCCCATAGATGGGGTGGGCCAGAGGTGAGCAGCCTGCCCGAGAGCCCCAACGGGGCACGTACCCTGGCCTCTCATGTCTGTCATTGTGCTGCTCAACTGGACCCACTTGTTTGTTCCTCCCAATGACCCTGTGAGTGGTCTTGCATAGACCCAATGCATAGATAGACAAACTGAGGCTCAGGGTCGTGGAGATATAGAGGAAGCGCTCCCTGATCTGAGTGCCTCTCTGTCTGAGTCCAGAGGCTGCGCTGCCCCCCAAATGTTCCATATAATGTAGAGGAAGAGTCAAGGGCCACATTTTTCTTGCAAGCAACTTTCTGGCAGCTCCTTTGCCTTGAAGCAGCCGCCACAGGCACCCCCGTGGACAGGAAGTGCCCCTCCTGCACCATCTGAAAGGTCCCCAGGGCCCTTAGCTACTTTGGGGGACTTGTGGCTTCACATCCCTGCACGACCTGGGATCCCTCCATTACCACACCCTTTGGAAAGTGGGGTGCAGAGGAGAGGGGAAGGCTCAGACACCCTACTTCATTCGGAGGACCTTGTTTCTAGAAGCGCAGCGCAAGGGTCCCTAGAGTCTCCTTTCACGCCCTTAGGGCATTTCCATCACCATTGCCCTGTGGCTGTGACTAGCTAGGGCCTCTCCCATGCTCTGCCCCATGTGGTTCACTGGCCATGAATCATCACTCCCATTTTACAGACGAAAATCTGAGGGGTCTGGCACTTTAATCATTTGCCGCTGTAGGCAGTAAAAGTGGGGCACAGGATGGGGGCCTCCTCTCATTCCATCCCAGCTCTTCCCCAGGAGTGGCTCTGTGTCACATCATATGGCAAGGGGAGGTGGGGACCGGCTCTCCACATGCCCGCAGCCCAGCTCTCCCGTGCTTGCAGAAGTCCCAGGGAGGGGTCCGGATAATGAGAAACAGTTATTTATGCAGATTCAGGGTGACCCGAATGTCAGCCCGGCCTTTACCATTCCAGCTCAGGTATAGAGGATGAATGATCTAAAGTTTAAAGACTCACCTGGGAAACTGCCAGGCTTTTCTCCCTGGTGATTCCTGACAGTTCGGCCTGGTTGCTGAAGACCTTCCTTATGCCCAGCTTAGGAAGGATGCCTTCCAGATTATAGCTGCTGGAGATGGAAAACTTTGGCAGGAAGAGCCTGTCTATAAACCTGGGAAAAGAGAAAAATTACTGTGAGCACCTGCTTGTCTCCACGCTCACCTTCTCCCACCTCCCAGCATAGGCTTCCCTGGTTTCCTTTCCAACCACCTTGCTGGAAATAAGTACTCGCTTCCTCAGTTTCTTCTTATTTTTTCAGCTTATTTATTTATTTTGAAGGGGGAGGAGAGAGAGAGAACGTGAGTAGGGAAGAGGCAGAGAGAAAGAGAGAGAGAGAGAGAGAGAGAGAGAGAATCCCAAGCAGACTCCACACTGTCAGCACAGAGCCCGATGCAGGGCTCGAACTCGTGAACCATGAGCCGAAATCCAGAGTCGGACACTTAACTGATCCAGCCACCCAGGCGCCCCTTGTTCCCTCTGTTTCTTGAACCCTTGTGCTAACTCGTGTTAATTCATTCTTTATCCATTCACGTCCGCAAGTGCCTACGTGTGCCAGGCAGGGGCCGGGGCCGGCTGAGGCTGTGGTGGCCTGCCCTGGTCTCCCCCTGCAAGCTTATAGTGCAGCAGGAAGCACACTCTCCCCAACAGGGATTCCACAGCACACTCCATGGGCACCTGGAAGGCTTCCTGTAGGAAGTGGCATCAAGCCGGAGTCCTGAAGGAAGGGAAGGAGCTAGCTGGGTGGAGAGGAGAGCAGGAGGCGGGTGGATGAACTTGCAGGAAGGCAGGAAGAAAGAGGGGATGGTCCACAGAGTAGAAGGAAGCCCTGGTATTGGAGATGAGGGGCAGGGGCTGGCGCTGGACATGAGGGGATTATATTCCAAGGGCCTCGGGGATCTGGAAACGAGCAATTGGCGGTCCCCATCTGGGCTGTCTGGTGAGCTCCCTGAGGACAGGGGCTTCTTCTGCTTCTGAGCAGAGCTGGTGGTGAGTTCTTGGAGCAGGAGCTGATATTTCCCACGTCCACGCTTTCCTCTCTCTGCTTATATCCCTTAAGGCTCTTGTCCCCTTCTGTCTGGTTTCACAGTGGCCAGACATGAGGAGGCTGTGTCTCCCATCGAGCCTTGAGTCCTGTGCGCAGGGAGGATGTCTCCTTCTCTCCAAATCCATTCATTCATTCATCCATTCATTCACTCATTGACTCACCCATTCCTAGCACCCATCACGGGCTAGAAATGTGTGGAGGCGTATATGTCCTCAGTGCTTTGTAAATTAAAGGTGTTTGATGAATATTCTACCCATTTACACCTGATCATTAAGCCCCTGCCGCGTAGCTGCTATGTAGTCCTGAAGGAAGGAAGCATTGCAAAGGGAGAACATGGATGAGACAGCGGGGTCCCTGTGTCATGGGGCTTCCTGGGATCTGACCCCCAACTGCCTCCTCATGTCCCCATCGCAGGGACTGGGCCCAGGACTCCCCTTACCTCGCCTGTCCCCCTTGACCTTGGTCTTCTGCATTCCATGTCCTAGCCTGTCTCTCTACCCTCAGGTTTATCTGAAACCTGACCACTCATCTCACTTATTGTGCCATGGGGCTCCTTCCTGCCTCCATGCTTGATCTCTGTAGTCAGCTCTCCCCTCAGCTTCCGGGCGGTCTTTTTAAAACAATCCTCAGAGCATTCACTCTTCGGCACAAGATCTTGTGATGACTCCCCATTTTGCTTAGAGGAGGAAGAGGTGAGGTTTTCCGGGGGCCGGCTTGGCCCTGCGTAACCAGAACCATCCCGTGAGCGCCCCCTGACTTCTGACTCTCACCCTGCTTCAGCCTCTCTGCCCTCCCTAATCCTCAGACATACCAGGCTTTGCGTGGAGGCTTTGCACTGGCCATTCCCTCTGCCAGGAATGCGTTGCCCTAACATATCCACAGGGCTCAGTCCCTCACATCTGTCATGCTGATCCTCAAATATCACTTGCTAGCGATCCTTTATATATATATAAATATATATATTTGAGAGAGTGTAAGCGGGGGAGGGGCAGAGAGAGGGGGACACAGGATCTGAAGTGGACTCTGCGCTGACAGCAGCGAGCCCCATGTGAGGCTCGAACCCACGAACTGTGAGATCAGGACCCGAGATGAAGCCAGACGCTCAATCGACTGAGCCACCCAGGTGCCCCTGGTGATCATTTTTAAAATCACTGACCACCTCCCGGTTGGTTCAGTTTTCTGAATCCTTTTACCCTGTTCTATTACCCACTTCCACGCCTTCCTTTCTTAACGCCCAACATACTAAACACTGTACCTATTTATTGTATTTATTCATTTTCTCATTTTCCAGTTACGAAGTAAACTCCATGGGGGGAGGGGATCTATGTTTTACTTGCTGACATACCCTCAGGGTCTCAATTAGTGCCTGGCCCATCATAGCTGCTCAGTTAACCTGTGTGATGGAGGAATTAAGAGGTCAAGGGCAAGGTTATCCCAAGCCCCCGCCGTGTTGGGAGGGTTCTCCCCGCACTGCAGCCCCGGCCCCGGACATTAGGGAGGCCCTGTGTGCTGGGGGCACACAGGAGTCGGGGAGAGTGGCCGAGGAGGAAGGGGGGACGGTCACCTCATCCGCAGTGAGTCTCTCCAGCTTCTCAGCATTTCTGGGAACAGCACGGCCTCCAAGGCCTCCATCGTGCCCTCGTCGGGGAGAACGAAGAGGGCGCTGTCGTTGCTCGTGTAGCGGAGCTCCACCACCGTGCAGTTCAGCAGCCTGTCCCGGAAGTAGGGCAGCCTCACGTCCTCGAGGCTCATCATGGGCACATTCACCTGCCTCCTTTTGGTCACGTAGAACTTTGACTTGAAAGTATCCCGGGGGTCGAAGGGCGTCTTCCATTTGGCTGAAGGTCAGAGAACTCTGTGAATACAGGGCTGCTCTGTTCCCACCCCTTCTCTGTCCGGGCTCCCTGGCTGCTGAAAACCCTCGGCGCCCCAACAGGCACCCCACTGGCCTCTTAGGGGAGGCCCTGCTTTGGCTCAGGGGCACCTTGGCAAGTGGGCGGGCCACCAGAGGTAGGGGTGAGTCCCACGGGTCTGGACTGGGAACGCGCTGTGGAACAAAGATCTGGTTAATTGTGGTAAGCGAGAGACCTACAGGAATTTGGGAATAGCAGGTGCAGAGAGAGAGGGGCAGGGGATCAGGGAGAGAGGGGTGAGGGGCCCGGGAGCGCCGCAGGAGACTGCAGCAGGGGGAGGGATGGGAAGCCCCGGACCCCCTAAAAGGGACAGTGCTAGTAACCACTAGTTGGCCACCCAGTTGTCGGCATTGCAGGGATGTCCGCAAACACCCACAGCCTCGTCCAATGGGCTGAAACAAGGGGCAAAATGGGAATGTGAGGGCAGGGGGGAGTCAGCCAAGGAGAGGGCACAGGTCTCTATCCTCAGGAGGACTGGAGCACTGGGTGGGGTGGGTGGGAGATCCTTTGCTGGGAAAGTGAGCCAACTCCTTTCCCCTCTCTCCCTTCCCCTTCCCCCCTCCTCCTTCCCCCTCCCCCTCTGTCCTCCCCCCTCCCTCCTCCCCCCTCTCCCTTCCTTCACCCCTTCACCCCCTCCTCTCCACTTGCTCTCCCTTCCACCTCCTTCCCTCCCCTCCCCCCCTCCCCCCTGCCCTTCTTTGTTAGAAGCAGCAGAGGAAGGGAAAGCCCGCCCCCCACCCCCCCCACCGCAGGCTGGTATATCCCTGGGAAGGAGAATTTGGAGGAGAAAATCCTCCAACAGGGCAGGGTGGAAGGAGGGGAAGACACAGGAAACACACAAAGAACAAATAGGGCTCATTCTGCTCAGATTCGTTTTACAGAGAAATCTGGTTCCAAGTCTCCACTTGCAGCTGCAAACCCAGACTCAGCCGTGCAAACCGGCCGGGAGGGTCCCAGCCCCAGGACGCAGCAGAAGCCCCGTGCGGCTCTCAGTGTCTCCACACAGCTCCTCTCTCTGAGACACCTGATGGCTCCCTGACTCCCTGATCGGTCTTTGGGTCTCTGGCTGTGTTTCGGCCCTGTGGGGACTGCTGCACCGCAAGGCAGACCCTATCTGCTCGCCCTCCGTCTCTTCCCAACTTACGGGCTGAGGTCTGCGTTTGCGGAGTTTCTACCCATGGGGTAGAAACTAGAATCTGGGAGTGGGCCCTGCCTCGGGTATTGCCCTCCCCCCAGGGCACTTCCCCAGAACAGCGACCCTGCCGCTACCACCCTCAAGATCACAGGGGCTCTGGGCGCCCCGGTGGTTCAGTCGGTTAAGCAGCTGGCTCTTAAATCAGCTGGCTCCTGGTTTCAGCTCAGATCACGATCACACGGTTCGTGAGTTTGAGCCCTGCATCGGGCTCCACACTGACAGTGCAGAACCTGCGTGGGCTTCCCTCTATCTCCCTTTCTCTCTGCCCCTCCTTGCTCTGTCTCTCTCTCCCCAAATAAATAAATACACTTAAAAGAAAAGCTTATGGGGAGCATGATTGCAGAACCTGGATTGACCAGGCTCCTTAGAGGCGTTCATGGCCCCCAATGGGGTTGGGACCCCCCAGAGGCTGAGCCCTTGGGCAAGACGGAGCCCAGGTCAGAATGGTCTCACAGGTGTGGCCCCGGCAGAGGGCTTTCTGAGCATGTCCAGAGGTGTCTCTTCAGAGACAAAGCTGAAGTTCCCACCCACCCAAGAGCGATTTGAAAGGGCAGCCCCTTCCTCCTGGTAACCAGGCAAGTGTGACTCTGACTCAGCCAAAGGGTTCCTGGGCCCCTCAGTAGTTAACAGCCTACAATGACAAAGCGTCATTCAGACAACCTTTAGAGAAGACACCGCTTAAGACGGGCACACCGCTTAAGACGGGCAGGGTGGGACCTTGGTGCCCTGCCTCCTCCCTCTGCCACCCCGGGGACCAGGGGCACCTGCTGTATGTCGGTCTCCCTAATAACACAGTTTACTACTCTGGGCCAGAAATGGCCTTGAAGAAACAGAACGAGAGGCCCTGTTTCCTTCCAAACCCTGAGCCGGGCACTCACCTTTAAGGAAGATGTAGTTCACCAGGACCATCGCTGTGTGCAGGTCAAGGTCCTTGACCAACTGCACAATTTTCCCCTGGGTCCTATTCTTCACGTAGTCATTGATGAGCCTCTCGGCGGCAGCTGAGTCCTGGAAGTTGGTGGGGAAAGCCTCGGAGGCGTAGAGCGCCCTGGCGTCGTCCCTGAACTTCTCCAGCAGCTGCAGCTGCTCGCTGACAAACATGGCATTGCCCACACTCAGCTGCCGCTCGGCGCTGGGCTGGCTGAGGGTCCGCAGCAGGTGCTGGAAGCCCCGGTGGACTTCCGTGTCAGGGGTCTCTGTGAGGTTGAACTTGAGGCCTTCGAGGATCTCCGTGAGGGTGGTGTCACGGGCCCCCAGGGAGAGGAAAGCCAAGGCGATGGAAATGCTCAGGGGTGAGAAGACGACATTCTTAGTGGGGGTCTTCGAAGCCAGCTGCTTGTAGAGGCTGACGGTGAAGTCGATGTTGCTGGAGGCTAACTGGAGGCTGTCCACAGGCGTCCTGGTGTGTTGGGCCTCCTGGGTGACTATCTCTGGGGCAAGCGTGCCCCCCAGGAGGCAGTGGCCAGTGGGCCAGAGCCCCGCCACCAGGAGCCCCAAAGCCAAGAGGGGTGACATTCCGTCTATCCTCAACTCTGCAAAACAAAGCTCTTTTAAGTCTTGGAGGGCCAGCTGGTGTCCCGACCGCCTCCCACTGTCCCCCATGTGGCCTGTGTGCTAGTCTCCGCCTCTGTAAGCTTGGTGACCTTCCACGGGTAGGCACTTCCCGTGCAACCGACACACACGGTTACATTATATTTGAGGTAAGTACTATAATTGCTGCCATTTTCCCCAGGGGAAAAACTGGGCACAGAGAGGTGAAGGGGCTTGCCCGCAGTCACACAGCAAGCAAAGGGAGGAGTAGGGTGAGGAGCCTGGTTTGCCTGGCTTGCTACGCCTGGAGACAGCAGTGTGGGCTTTGGAGCCACAGAGACCTAGACTAGGATTTCATTTTGGTCACGTGCCCTTGCTGTGTGGTAACAAGCAAGTGACTGACCCTCTCTGAGCCTCAGTTCCCATTTCTCCGCAACTCTGCTAGTAGCTCATGTGAGCGACACGGTGGAGGGGCCCGGCTCGTAGCAGGTGTACCTCCTCCCACATGCCACCCCGTCTCTGAAACGACCAGCCAAGCCAGAGCTACGATCCCACGATCCCACGGGGAGAAGGGATGGAGCCGTTGCAGGAAAGATCAACGAGGGGCTGAGTTCAAGGCCGGTGACCACGGCAAACAGGATTATTTACCTTCAGCCTCTACTCAGTCCCAGAGTCCAGAGGAGAAAGGGGCAGCTTCTGAGAGGGAGAGGGGAAGTGGGGCGGGGAAGAGAGGGAGGAGAGGAGAGGAAGGGGAGGAGAGGGAGGGGCGGCAGAGGAGGGAATTAAGCCCCTTTCCATCAGGAGGCCCTGGAAACGCCCTTAGTTCAACTGGCTCAACATTTTGTTTACTCTCTAGCTGATGCAACCATTTTTTGGAAGAGTTAAAAATCCCCCCCCCCCCCCCCCCCCCGGAATTATTTCTGGAGAAAAAGAACTTTGTTTGGGCAAGTTAGCAGCCTGGCTATTTCTGAACCATCTTTTCATCTGCTGGACAGGTACAGCCTGCCTGTCTGTTTGACCCTGGAGGGGAGAGGAGCCATGAAAGAGCAGCCATGGGGACCCCATGGCCTCTGCCCAGAGGGACCCCGCGCAACAGTTCTGTCTGTGCCATGCTGCGAGGGCAGTGCCCTGTGCCAGACAAGGGGCAGCTGCTTGTGCCCCTCGGGGGGATCGTGGTCCCGACGGTCCCGTGAATGGGGGTACCCAGCTGGCGAGAGTCAGAATCCAAACGTTTGGAGGCAGAAACACACAGGAGCCCTTGTGCTTCGTCCACCCCTTTGCGGGTGTGAAAACCCAGACCCAGAAGGAAGACTTGTCCTCAGAGGGTGCGGCATTCGGGGCCTGTCCCAGGGCTCTGGCACACCTCCTCCTGGCTCCCTCCCGCCTCCCAGGCATTGGCCTGGAGCCATCCTAGAAAAATGGGTTCCTTTGCCCCCAGCATGCACAGCGTCCTGGATTACCTGCCCCTGCGCTGGATGCGGTCAGGGGATCCCCACGCCGCCGCCTGGCCAGGCCGCTGGATTCTCGTGGGGGCCGACACGTATTTATCCCCACGACAAACTCCTCCCCTCGCTTGGGAAATGTTGGCAGGGACACCCAAGCGTTCCGTTTTTAGACTGGACTGGTCAAATAATCATTTCTGGTAACATGCGTTTATTAGATCTACTGGAATAATCCAGCTACTGGAACAGCTCCTAACCTGTTTCTTTCAACACACACACACACACACACACACACACACACACACACACCAGCTTTCCGTTTTCATTGTTATCTTTTATGAAATATTCATTGAGGAACCTGTGAAAACCTAGGAAATAGAGAGAAGGCACGGGAAAATCCTCCCTCTCCGCGAATTACATCACCCGGCTACCATTTTGTTGTATTTGTTTCATAAGGTCGTTTTCTTGGATCTGTGTTTGTAAGTGATGGGAATCTTCATACACAAAGCCATATTTTGAAAATTTGTTTTATGTTTTTATTTTATTTTATTTTCTAGAGCAAGAGGGGCAGAGAGAGAGGGAGACACAGAATCTGAAGCAGGCTCCAGGCCCTGAGCTGTCAGCACAGAGCCTGACGCAGGGCTCGAACTCCCAGACCACGAGATGAGACCTGAGCTGAAGTCAGATGCTTAGCTGACTGATGCTTAACCAGGCTCCTTCTGTCTTGTTGCTTTGCCTTTCCCAGTGTCTGTTTGCGGGGTCCTCCTCCTCCCCCTCCTGCTCCCCCTCTTCAGCCTCCTCCCCTTCCTCCCCCTCCTCCCCTCCCCCTTCCCCTCCCCCTCCCCCCTCCCCTTCCCCTTCCTCTTCCTCCACCTTCCACTCCCCAGCAACTGCAGTGGAGCCCTTCCCCACTGGAAACTTCTCTCTCTTCTTTCCTTCTCTTTCTTGCCCCCATGGCCCCTCAGTCCCCCCAAACTCCCCTGCTTGCTCCCCCGGACCTGAGATTCACTGGCTCAGTGCCATTGGGCAGCACCCTGGGTGGGGCCGTGGATCCTGCCTCTTCCACCGACGGAACGTCCACTAGATGACCGTGCCCGCTGCTGCCAGCACTGACCGCCTGTTTGTACAGCTCCCGGACCCCATTATGTTGAGAAGGATCTCTGTCCTTATATCATCTTTGTTTTTTATTTATTTTTGAGAAAGAGAGAGAGAAAGACAGGGTGGGAGTGGGAAAGGGGCAGAGAGAGAGGGGGACACAGAATCCGAAGCAGGCTCCAGGCTCTGAGCTGTCAGCACAGAGCCCGACGCGGGGCTCGAACTTGTGAACGGGGAGATCAGATGCTTAACTGACTGAGCCACCCAGGTGCCCCTGTCCCTTTATCATCTTAAGCCTTGTCACCAAGCCTTGGTCTGTGCCGGCCTCCAGAAAGGTGGGTTTGGGGGAGAGGAAGAATTCTAACATCTCGTCTTACGACTTGCCCAAGGACCCCTAGCCGTTAAGAGGTGCAGCTGGAGGAGCTTGGGCAAAACCAGCCCAATGCCTGACCCGGGCTCTCTCTTCCCCTCCCGTGCTCCAAAAAAGAAAGAAAGAGAGAAGCATTTCCATCCTTGACCATATGAGGGAAAATCCAATCATAGGAGAATAATTCTTGGGGCTGCTATGTCTCTAAGGCACTGCTTGTCTTTGGAGCTGTGTCGGGAAGGCGGCCCCCTTTATGGGGGTGGGGTCCCAGTTGGATGGGAGCTCTGTCCCTGTGTGTCACCACCTCCCACCTGTGACTGAGGTTGAGTGCGTTTCTCAGACTTGAAATGGACCCAGGCGAGCAGCCCGAGGGAAGCCAGGGGTCAGGGGCAAGGTCTCCCGGAGCCTACTTCCAGGGCTCGGGAAACCCGGAAGTTCAGAGTAGAGACAGGCAGAGGCCGGAAGTGGCACTAGGCTTTGGGGCCCGCGCAGCTGTGCCTGCGGCACCTGTCTCGAAGGGGAAGATGTGGAAGTTCTGTGTGGAGTGCCCAGCCCCCACCCTGAGGCTGCGAAGTGCTGCATCTGCGGGACAGTCACTCTTTCTGTCCCCGGCCACATACAGAGTCCGTCGGGGCTTGCAAGCTGGGCCACTGTGATGCTGTTTACTGCCTCCCATAGTTTCTGCCTTCACGGCATTGCTTCTGATCCCTGACAGCTGCCTTGGCGCAAGTGGGGTACAGAAAACCGTGGGAAAACGAGTTGTCCCCATGCGGCTGGGGCTGCAGATGGGAAAGTGTATACTTCTGGGGCTCGACGGGTCTCGATGGTAGGAATCCGAGGGTGTCCCGCATCCGCAGAGCAAGCGATGCCGGGAGGGACAAATATCCGTTTCTTCTAGAAAGCGTCTTCCTGGAGCCGGAGAGGCGGCGCTCACGGGAAGGGCCTCTGTCACCATGTTCTGGCTGGGTGACGTTAGGCTAGCTACTTCACCTCTCTGAACCTCTCTAGTCAATTGTAGCTCCTTAAAGAATTCGTAGGAGGAAGAAATGGAATACTAGTAGCGTCCCAAGCCCCAGAGTGGGTCCTGCCTTCTCTCTTACAGGCTGGGGGGGGGGGGGGGGGGGGCCGGACTCCGCTCTGGCTGGAAAAGTACAGACAGACGCCTGGCTGCTGCTCTCCGCCCGTGTTTACACTGACCTGGATTTGTGCGCCGCTGGGGAGATGTGGGCTGCAGCTCTGAGGCCTGTTTGCAGCCACCCTGGCTTTGTCCCTGGCTGTGCCCCCGTGAATCCCCAGGTGCCCACGGGGGTATGTGGCAAGCAGGGAGAATTCCTGCCTCTGCTGTGCCAGCTGCCCAGTCGGCTCTTGCTCCTCCTGTCTCCGTGATGAGGGGGGTGCTCGCCATCATCGGCTTTCATTGCAGCCCTGCCTTCCCCGTTACGGGTGGTGGCTGAGAATCCCCGGTGAACAAGGACTCTGGGGTCAGAGCGGCCCGGTCCCCCACCTGCCACCCACACCCTCATGCACACTAAGCTTTCTGAGCCACACGCCCTTCCCCCGGGTCGAGCGAGGTAGGAGCACCCTCCTCACGCACCTGTTCACTGGTGCGGTCGTCAGTCAGTCCTGCCACAGAGGGGGGTTACTCTGCCGGGTTCTGGGGTCTCAGTACTGGTCACCCTAAAGATGTGTCCTCAATTCCCCTGATAATGCTCCCTTCAAGACTCAAAGCGTAATTACCCTGTCCTTGGGTTGGACTCAGGGAGTGACTTGCTTCTAATACGGAGAATTGGCAGAAGGGGTGGGCGGTGTCATTTCTGAGATTGGGTCATAAAAAGACAGCTGCTTTTGTCCTGCATTCTCTGTCTGTCTCTCTCTCTCTCACACACACCCCTCCCCATGGGAAGCCATGTCTATGCAGCCTTGCGAACAGATCCACTCTTTGAAGAACAGCGAATGAACCTGGACATCAAGCCCCAGCCCCTGACTGGCCTTCGGGAACAGCAGCCCTAGGCCGGGGATCAGATGACAAGTTCAGGAGGGACCATGAACCAGAACCCCTCAGCTCAGCCTCTCCTAGGTTTAGAAACCATGAGGCAGT